GGGAGTCTGTTTCTCCCTCTGACCCTCCCCCCTCTCTCTCATTCTCTCTCTCTCAAATAAATAAATAAAATCTTTAAAAAAAAAAAAAAAAAGAAATATAGGTTAATAACAGATTACTGAAGCAAATCAGACGAAATACCAAAATGGATGGCACAAAAGATCCCAGAAGATTAAGAGGTTGAAATCGATCTTATCAAGAAGTTACATAGCTGTTGTATTCCTGCCCACCTCCTTATTTATATTGGATAATGGCAAAGCCCTCTACCCTACCACTAGGGATCCAAACTCAGGCATCTCTGACAAGTCCTCCACACAACAGTCAGAATATTTCTATCAATATTTTATTCCTTAATCATTCAGGAGATAACAGGCATACTAAAACTTACTTTTGTTTTTATAGGCCCTGGTTGAATCACATTAAATCGCAGTCCATATCTACCCCATTCTGCTGCAAGAGACCTAAAAATTAAAATAAACACCACTATTTTAATATTCGAAAATATTATACTATATGTCAAAAATACTAATAATCCAGACTCACTGCATGCTTGCTATATGCCAGAGACTACAACCCCAACAAGTAGGTACTATTATCATTCCTCATGTTACAGACAAGGAAATTGAGGCACAGAGAGATTAAATCACTTGCTCTGAGTCATCTGGCTACTGACAAACCTCAAGTGGTCTAGTTCCAGAGTTTGTGCCTTCAGTCACTCTGCTGTAATATCTACCATTTGCATCTTAGTGTCCTTAATCACAATGCTATACTACCTACCACTTACATTTTAGAACTAAGTCTAATATCAAAATACATTTTTAGAATAAGTATCATAATTTAGCATAAAGAGGTGAGAGAATCATGCCCCTCCCCCACATTTTCTGGAGTTCAGTGCAACATGTACTACTTATATATAGTACATTGGATTACAATGTTTGCAACATCATGAGTACTTTTAAGTAAGAGATGGATTACATAGATATAAAATATTAACCACATCCATGTTTAACGAGGCTTTAATACAATTGCTGCACGGCACTCAAAGGGAAATAGGAATCTAACAAAATCTTACTAAATGTCATGAAGCAAAATACAACAATAATAGCAAACATGGAAACTTCAAGCAATCTGTTTTAAAAGCCTACTTGATAGACAGGTCTAACTTTTATTATCTAAACTCGTTTTAGGACTTTATACTCATATGTATATCTGTGTGTATATATACTGAATCTAGTTTTAAAAAATGACTTAAGGTAACAACTTTTAAAAAATACATATAACGCAAATGAGGAAGATAAAATCGTTTAAAGGAAAGAGAGGACACAGACAAAAGAAGGAAGCAGGAAAGGAGAAAGGAATTGAAAAATGGATAAGGAAAGATAAAGGAGCCAAGAATGGAGCTAATAACTAAATGTTTTGTGGCATTCTATACAATCACAATAGGTGGGTCACAAATTTGCATCCATTCTTTCCAAGATGCAATGCAAAAAAGGTAAGCCCTAATCAGTTACACACTTTGCAGTGCTCGTAAGGGAAAGGCAAGGTAATTTCTCAGGAAAAGCACAATTGTTCCTGATAAAAAAATCAGAAAAATATTTTTTTCAATAAGACTTCTAAAATGAAAATTGTATAATACAGTAAGACAATACTGTATCCTTGCAATAGATACAAAGAGATAAGTCTTATGAAACTGTAAGATATCAATTAATATAGTCTGACAAGATCACTTCAAAAACTCATTCTATAGGATAGGGGGCAAGTGCTCCAAGTACAGTCTGTTAATCTATCTTAATCCATGGATGCATTTTAGAGAATGGGTGGACTGCATCTCTTTCAGGCAAATCATACATAAAAATTGCTTCTGAGTGATGCTTTTGACAGAATTCATGAGTATACCTCCCCTTGGCACGTACTTGCAGTGCACCTGCTTCAAACTGCTAGGGAAGCAGCAACTTCAGGTCTTAACAGAATTACAAGCTGAGCACAGTTTATGGTATCCTGTGAAAAACTGAGCCTATTAAGGAAACCTGCCTAGAGGAAAAGCCATCCTATCTCTGCTCAGAGGTGCAAGAGATACACTTTTTCCAGTCCTAGCTCTCATTAAATTAGCTTATATTCTGAAGAACTACCATAACATGATAAGAAATCCACCTCATTAGCTTGTTTTGCATGTTGAGATGCAAAGCACAATATACCCAATATATGTTAGCCATTATGTTGTTAAATCAACAGATGCTTATTGTGTATTTACTATGTGTTAACATTTTGTAAGTGTTATTTACCCTCTAAGGAAGGCAGTCTCTGCCTCTCAAGACAGCAGTCCTTCTCTCTCAAGGGAGGTTAGCTTAGTTGTATAATAAACTAGTTACTCTGCTGGGAATTGTGTAATGTGCACCATGACTGCTTACAAAAAAGTACCTAAGTCTAGTGAGAGTAAGAGGGAAGCCTTCCTGGAGGAGGTGATATTTGAGTTGACACTTGAAGAAGGATTAGGAGTTTATTGTGGGAAGCAAGGGGGAGGAAAAGAGGATGGGAGATAATAGGGTGTAGGATGGAGAAAAAAGACAGCCCAGGTAAATGGGCCAGTATGAGTAAAGGACAAAGGTACAAACAACATGCAGTATTTGGTGACCTACAAGGCCTCATCCAGTATGACTGTGTCCTATAAAGTATGAGAAGAGGACTGACGGGAACTCAGGCTGGAAAGGAAGTAAACATTTACCAAGTATCTACTCCATGCAATATGCTATGCAATAAAACAAAACAAAACAAAAACAAGCAGCACAGAATCACAGTTCTTAAAGGACATGACATTGAAACCTCTAACAAGATCAAAGTTCCCAACAAGACGAATGCTGATACTGTACAAATGATGCCAAAATAGTCAAGTTCTAATTCCTTATTTCCAATGCCACCTGACATTAAAAAAGTAATTACCTGTATTTACACTAAGATTCCACTTCTAAGTATAGTAATGTGTCTTTTTATCTCAAACAAATGTGTATTACTGATTTCGATGTTGAAAAATACTTTGGGACTACTGGAAGAAAAGAACAGTGATGTTTTGGCAAACACTGAGCACCAGCCATGCACCAGGTCCTGCTGAGAAATAAGCATACTGAGATGAATAAGCTATGGTCCCTCCCTCACAGAACTCACATCCCAGTGGGGAGGCCACATAGCTTTAACAATATGTTCGAAAGCAGCCTTGCATGTCCTTCTCTGTGTCCTTACCATATTGGTACATGACCTTCATTTTAGAATCTATAACTAGATTTTTAGAATTTTAGAATCTATTTTAGAATCTATAAATCTATGGATAGCATTTATTTATTAGTGTGTTAGTCTTCTCACTAGATTGGAATAAACAAAGTTTTAAGGGTGCACAGAGTAGAGAATAATTAATTCTGTTCTAAAGCAATGAGAGAAAACCTCCTAGAGGAGGTGATATGATGACAGCCTTGAAAGCAGGGAAAATATCACAGCAAATTCCAACAGCAGCATAGCCCAGACATAGAGAGATGAAAACGCATGGCATATTTAAGGAAATACAGAGCAGTTCAATAGAGATTAAAACACAAGAAAAACAGTATAATGCTATCCCCTCAGGGGAGGATGAGAACTATTCTACTTCTATCAATACCCTATCCCTGGACCTAGCGCAGTGCCAGGCACACAAAAAGAACACAATACACATTTATCCAATTAATCAATGAATAAACAAAGGCCAGGGACAAGTTTATTTAGAATACCATACTAAGGTTTGGCTTTTATTCCAAAGAATAATGAAAAAATGATCTAAGATTTTAGCTAGGGAGTATCATAAGCAGACATATTTTTAGAAAGATGATTCTGGTGGGAAGATGAATAAAAAATAAAGAGGGAAGAGACTGGTAGCAGAGAAACACATTATAGGATTATTACAGTAAGCCATGATGAGAACCTACATTATAACAAAGACAGTAGAAAAGGCCAATGGGGAATAGATTCGAAAAGCAATCATATGCTGCTGAGAAAAGGCCACAAGATCTGGCAAGTGGTCACTGGTTTATGTTAGTCCTATTAATCTTGCACAGCAGGTACAATATAAGGATGAAGGTGTGTTTAACAGAAATTAGAAACAGCACCGATAAAGATATATGGGAGAGCAAAAAGGCTATAGTCCTGTGCTATCTCATATGGCAGCTACTAGCTACATTTGGCTATCTAATCTTAATTTTAAAGTAATTAAAATTAAATACAATTTAGTTTCTCAGTGACAGTAGCCACAATTCAAGGGTTTCGTATGTGGCTACTGGATAGGGCAGATTTATAAAACATTTCCATCACTGCAGAAAGTTCTATCGGACAGTGCTGATATAGACAAATAAGACTTATCCAAGAGCTAGAACGTCTGTTTCTAAGTGAATCCAAGTTAATCTTTGTTTTACTTTTCTCTGGATGGAGACTAGAAAGGAGAAATTAAGCTCCATGAACTACCAAAGTACATTATCTATCTCCGGCCCTGGGATTATCATAGTAGTACTCACTTGCTCATGGCTTCCACTCCTGCTTTTGCAGAAGCACTTGGTACTACAAAACCTGACCCACTTTCAGCATAGATGGTTGTAATAGCAAGAAATGCTGCTCCTGAAATTCGAAAAGGATATAGTAATTAACAATACAGCTAAGTCAATTCACATCAGGAAAATATGATTTACAAGAATGGGATCTGATTCAAGAGGATTTAACAAAAATGTAGCATTTTTTAAACTTCAGTAGCCCTAAATTAATGAGAGAGTAATCTAATAAAATTGCTAATCTTGCTGTCATTCAAGATGGCCCAGTCTGTGCTTACCTGAAATCCTATGGCAGGTGAGTCAAGACAGTGACCCAAAACTCAGAGGCATGGCCCTATAACCCCCTGCATAATCAGCTGGATTGGATTTCCATGAACTAAGCACCCACTTAAATAAGAATAAATCAGGGACGCCTGGGTGGCTCAGTCGGTTGGTTAAGCATCTGCCTTCAGCTCAGGTCATGATCCCAGGGCCTTGGGATGGAGCCCCACATTGGGCTTCCCTGCTCAATGGAGAGCCTGCTTCTCCCTCTCCCTCTGTTGCTCCCCCTGCTTGTACTCTCTCTCTCTCTCTGACAAATAAATAAATAAATAAAATCTTAAAAATAAGAATAAATCAGAATCAAGACTATATTAGCAGGGACTTGACTTCCAGCCATGATGGACTTGCCCTCCCCCTGTAAACAGCAAGAAAACTGTATAAGATATATAATTATATGATACAACTATTTTTAGATACTGTACAGCAAGCAGGGAAAGACAATGATCCCTGAGAGAAGAAAAATGAAATGAGCCCTAAGGTCACCCCAGACTTTTGCCTAAAGGTACTATACATATACTATATACTATATAGTATACTATGGTGTAAACTACAAATATACACATACTGTATATATATGTATATACATACATATACTGTACACTATACAGACTGTGAGATAAGGAGTGGAAATACAAGCAAAACATAGCACTCTCACTGAGTTGAGGAGATGGAGATCTTGAGCAAGTTGGAATTTGTGAGGAGAGTTCCCCCAGGGAGGGAAGTATGCAGAGACAGAGCTCCATAAATCTGCAGAGTATCTCCTCGAGTCTTTGGCCAAATATCAAGCTGTACACATTTAGGGGGAGATTTCATTAGACCAGGCAAAGAACCGCCAGGGAGCTGTAAGCTGAACAATTCCCAGAGCTCACATAGGCTGGGAGATGAGTGAGTTCTAGGCAGCTTCACTGAACATCCAGGACTTCAGTGGAGAATTCAGAAAGGCCAGGCCTTATTAGGAGAGTTAAACTGGGTGGCTCAGTTGTTAAGTGTCTGCCTTCGGCTCAGGTCATGATCCCAGGGTCCAGGGATCGAGCCCTGCATCGGGCTCCCTGCTCAGCGGGAAGTCTGCTTCTCCCTCTCCCACTCCCCCTGCTTGTGTTCCCTCTCTTGCTGTGTCTCTCTCTGTCAAATAAATAATAAAACCTAAAAAAAAAAAAAAAAGAAAGAAAATCTTCAGGCGGTTCTGTGAATTCCCTGGAAACTATAAAATGCTGTGTATTTGTGCACATGTAGACT